AAAAAAAAAAAAAAAAAAAAAAGAAAAAAAAAAGATGAACAGATTTAGACCCCTGAAAATCCAACAAAGTTTTCATCAGCTAGATCACCATTTTCCCCCCTCCTCACCTCTCTAATTTTCCTTTCTTCAAAGGGAACAAAGGTGGCAATGCAGCGCTGCTCTTCACGTGTGTGTAAATTGGCACATTAATCATTGGTCTTATTCTAATAGTTGCTGATCTCGTCCTCTCCAAGCCTTTCCTCACCCCCTTCACATGCTTCTCCCTACGCCTCAACCCTTCCTTGAGCCCTTCATCCGCCGAGGCTATGTCAGCGAGCGAGCTGGCGGAGGACGACGAAGATGAGGACGAGGAAGAAGGCGACAACGTCGAGGCGCGCTGCTTCTTCAGCCTCAGCAGCTCCTTCCATAGAACAGTGCACTTTGGTGGCCTTGGAGAAGGGTCATCATCAACAAACCAACTACTCACTCTACTACTATTAGTCTCTTCCTTGTTAGCCTCTCCCTCCTCCTCTCCCTCCTCATCTTCCTCGGAATTTTTCATCTTGAGGCTGATCTTGTTGAGCTTCTCTGCATGCTGCATCTGCCAGAAGGGAAGGAGCTTCCCTTCAAAGAAGAGCTCATCTGCAGTTATCATGTTGTGGCTGCTCAGGTTGCTCGAGAGGAACTCAAACTCCGCGGCATTGCGCGCCTTCTGATCGCCCTCTGCGGCTGCTAATTCCGGTCTTTGGCGAGGAGAGTTTGGACTGATTGAGATGAAGTTTGTGTCATCCAGGAATTCAGCAGAGAAGGAGATCCTTGGACTGGAAGTTGGTTCAATGGATCTAGATGTTGCTTGAACTGTTTCAACAGAAACCATGGTTTTCTTTTCTTTTCTTTTTTAGGAAGAGAAGAGTGCTTGGCTAGTGAAGTGTCTGAGAAAATGCATGAGATTTGTGGTTTATAAAGGGAAGCAGATGTTATTAGTGTGACTACTAACTTTAACCTTTTGTTAGTGAAGGTTTTGGACGGTGAGATTATAATAAGTAGATGGTCTGGTGAAGCCGAAACCGGAGAGGTAAGGTTGTGTTTAGAAAATAGGAGAAATCACATGGACACCTGGGGAACTAAATGACAAAAAGGTTTTCTACCACTGTATAAATATTGCATGCAATATGTAATCACTAACCTGTGTTTTATTTCATAATTTCTTTTGAATCCTAATGCAAGAAGGAAAATAAAAAATAAAAATAAAAATAAAAATAAAATTTTATCCTGTTTTGATATTGACTCGTGATGATGAATTTTATCTTTCCTCTAGTAATTCACATTACAATTTCAGAACACCTAATAAAAAATGATAATTTGAACGTATTTGATTTTGAAAACCATTTTCTGGTAAGGCTAGCCGGACAAAGTTTTTGACATTGAAATCACTACTCATTCCTAGCTATAATTTGATCTAGAATGCAGTTGTACTATCATTAGCTATTAATAATGTTAATGACAATCCTCATTACATGGTTTTTCTCTTTCATAAAAAATTATGAAAGGTATCTACTTTACAGAGACAAGGAAAGAAAAAGATGGAACAGGGAAACTCAAACCAGGACAAGGCTTATGTACATGATGGCAATTGATTATTGGAATTGGATTAGTCAAATAGAGATAAGCTTTGTTAGTTTGACCTCCCTACTAAAAGGGATTACAACATGGGAGGGGTCCTATGCATGTGGGCACATGAGAGTAATTTCCAGCCATGTGAGAGCTGAATCAAGGATATATATGACACAAATCTTGATGACCAAGATACCCTTTTGAATTTCTTGACTGTTTCTGGTCTTTTCTTCTATTTTCACAATCTGGGTTGGATTTTATTGTCATCCTAGGGAAGCTTTACAAGTGGTAGATATCATGCCAATTAACTTGAAAAGCTCACATTAAGATTTGGGCAGGTATAATTAAATCAAGACAGCTAATAAACATAAGGGGGTAAATCTTCTTGTTATTATATGTGTGTATGGGTTGTGATTTGATTATTTTATATTAGGCACATAATGCCGGGCATTCTATGTGGTCCTTTACCTTTTTCTTATAATTAATTCTTTTGTCTAGCCTTTGTTCTATAATTGAGGGAGACAATAATGTTTAGGTGCCCAACAGCCCTAATAAACAACAAAATTGAACATGTGATGCAACACATATTTAACTAGCCCCATTTTCTGCTAACACCAATCTTCATTGTAACTGGTGAAATGTAAAAAAAAAATAATAATAATAATAATAAATAATGTTGGTTCGTTTCCTTTATGAAAACCAGTGATTTACAGTGGCAAATTAAGGACAAGACTTTCATCTTTAACAAAGTTGTGACAAACACAAGTGATAATATTGGAAACATAGGGAGTGACCAAATAATGTTATATGTCTTTGATTTAATCACACGTTGGCATATATTTCCATATGCCATATAATAGAGTTGATATAATTAGACACTAGTCATGGTACTGTATTGAGGACAGACAATAGGGTTAAGAGACAGGAAAGTACCTTCCTGCCACACTTTAAATACCATTTTGATTGTGTTTTACTTTTGGGAAAAGGGAAAAGTGGACGAAAGAAAAAAAAAAAAAAAAAAAAAAAAACTTTGATTGTTGAGTAAGGAAAAGAAAAAATCCTACCAGCATACAGAGACTGGTTTAATTTACATCCAATTTCGTTAAATTATTATATTACTCTAAACGTATAAGATTTTAATATGACTTAATATGATGTGACGGTTTAAATCTTTTATCACATTGATGGGCTAGTTTTTTTATATTTTAAGGTGGGTTTTGAGAATTTAAAAAGGCAAGGTAAGGTGTTGGACTTTGCACAGTGTAAGAGGGGAGATTGATGAACCCAAGAAAGACTCCAAAAGCAAGCCAATGTGGCTGAAGTGTATAAGAATGGGAGGGGACCAATAACTATCGACCATAGAAACCATTCTCATTAAATAAAAGCTGGGTTTACTCTGGTTTCATACAAAAGCCCAGCTGTTAACATAATATCTGTTTAAGTTCTCAATGCTAAATCATTAACCACTGTACTAGCTGTTATATATATATATATATATATATATAGAGAGAGAGAGAGAGAGAGAGAGAAATCTTTGACTATCTATTTGTTTTTTATAATCATGGGAAGTTGGGGAATCCATTGTCTGGCAAAGGCAGTGGAATTATAGGTGTGGATTGAATATAGCCTGGTTAGATTTCAGTTATTTGAAATCATATGATGGTCTTTTAAAGTGACTCCCTGCTATTTTTTCTGAAACTCAACAGTGGTACCTAACAAGAATAACACCACTTTGTATTAGTGATAAAAAGAAAAAAAAAGAGTGTTACATTTCTGAAACTGTTATGAATTGGTTCACAAGGCTATTTTCATACTCACTTGTACATACTCCATGCAAGAATACCGTTTGTTTCAGCACCACTACTAATAATAAGTGCGTCTCGCGTACGTCAACCTCGCGTTTAGGATTTACTTGTCAATTGCGGCGTCAAACATTGTCGATAAGACATCTGATCTTTTTTCTCTACTTATGAAATTATGAGTTGGGATGTGGAATAATGGAACAGTGATGTGTATTACTATTTTTTCACAATTTAAAGTTTATACTTAATTCATGCAGATATATATTTTTTTTCAATTAAAAAAAAATGACTAACAAAAAGGTGGAGTTTGTACTGGGCATGTACTGGGGGAGTTGGGCCCATAAGGACTTAGCAGCCAAGTTGAAGCACCTTTGATACAGTGTGTGGTGGCCCAGCCAGAGTTTTGGGTGACTTTTTGCTATCCTAAGTTATATATGCAGTGGCTTGGGCCTTATAATTTCCCTTTGGAGGATAAAGGAAATGATTAAAAATAGAAGCAAATGTCAAGCATCGTTGATTACTTTAGCATCATTATAGGGCCGTGATTGTTGGATTGCTGCTTCTATTTATTTTATCGATTTGAATTTATAATTTGAGTTTTATTATAATAAAAATTTTTTAAAAATAGTTACATTTAATTTTTTTATTACAGTAAAAAATTCTCATATAAAATCACATCGAACTAAATGGACCATATATAATCTATATTTCTTTATTCCAGTGTGTTAAATGTTAAACGCTTGTGGCCATATTAAGCTTCGAAGTTCTAAATTGACATTTATAGATAGAGGAACTTGTTCAAATAAACAATTAAAAATGAGGACTCGGATTTTTCATTTGTGAGTGTGTTTTAAATGGTGTTTAATCAATTGTATTATATTACGTCATTAATTTTAAAAAGTTAGAAATGTTTTTTAACTAACCTTTTCATGCTTTTATTTTCCGTACAAATTATGTAACGGATTATTGTGCGTTAGTTAGACATCATTTGAGAATTGGATAAAAATGAGAATCGGAGTGTTTTCTTAAACACTATAATATGTGGACAACTATCATAAATGCTACGCATGGTGATGCAAGCCATTATTTTTAGGAGACGTTTGGTTCATGGATTAGAATCATGAGATTAGAACCATTTTCGATTTATGTGTATTTTTTGTGAGAGAAAACACTGTGGTTCATGATTCGAATCGGGGTACGAATCTCCTAACCGAACAACCCCTAATTCTTCACTTCACTTTACAGCATCTAAGTATTATTTGAAAAGACGTAGGGAAGGGAGATTGTCTCAAAGTCTACAGGCAACTCTTCAAAAAGAATGGAAAGGTGCAACCATAATGTTTAAGAGCATCGTTATAAAGCACAAGTAGTGTTAAGCATCATCTACTGATAATAAAAAGTGAGTTTCACAGTGAGTGAATTATAGTTAGGGCTCACTTTTTATTAGTGTCTCTAAGCATTTTTTAATGTTTAAACATTAGCAACTTAATCACTAAAAGGTTTTCAAAACTCCTTGTTCTCTCTCTCTTTATCGTTCTTGTCTCATGAGATTTCACAGAGAACAATATAATCACAAATAGCTCTCGAGTGATCTTGACAATATTTATAAGCTTTACTTGGTTTTCTCTAATCAGCATACTGCTACAAATTAATCATTCAATTTCCAAAAGTGAGATTGGAGTACAAAATTAATTAACATGTAAATAAGGGAAATATTAAAGAAGTACTTGAACAATGAACAATAGATTCAAATAGTTTTAGCAGAAAAAGAAAAGGTCCTCCAGGTAACATGAAATTATGTTTGTGGGTTTGAGCCAACCTTATCATATTACTTATTAGCACACAAAATTTGACAGATTTTAGCATTTATATTAAAGTTATTATATCAGGGAGAAAGTAGCACCATCTTATGGGACACCTTGTAAGCTTTATCAATTACTCATCCAATCTCAAAAGCAGAATAAGTCGACTAAGAAATTAAATAACTAGATATATTATATGATGATTGCTTTTCTTTTTTAGCTGAAATACTTTGTATCTAGTAAATGTTGAATGGTAATATTTCAGTTTCTGAAATGATTCGGTTATATACAATGCATGCACAGAAAGTTATAAGATTATGCCAAATTGCAAGCCCTCTTCTTAATTAATTATATTATTTTTGTTGCCTTTATAACTTATAATGGTAAGTTAGGCCATTTTCTAACTTGTCATAGCATCTTATCAATGCATTATTAGAGGTCATGCCACGTCTTCTAGTATAATATCACATCGCTAATTATCTAGTCGATCTATTACGATCACGTTCCTAATTTTCCCAAATTTCAACACCTAAGTTAATTTTGATTCAAAAACATAATAATTAAGATAGCTAGGGTCCTTTCTCAGATTTATGCTCCATTTGTTTCGAGGGTTCTGATCTGGTTTAGGACTATAGTTCTTGGTTCGCTACAGTATTTTTTTCTTACAAAAAATTTAAATTTCACAAATCAAAATAATAAATCATGATTTTAAACTCATGAATCAAAGATTACCTTAATTTAATAGAAACTAATTAATTCATAACGAGTAATGATGACATAG